TGAATTATGATAAAAGATTCTTAAGCTACAGGCAAGGAAGGAAGTGGTACACAGCTTCTCTGTTACATAAAGAGGATGGGGTCTACTTTAATAGTAATCCAAGCAGGACACAAAATTTGGATGCATTGCATTGTTTTCCTAAGGATAATGATGTTTCTTATGAATCCAGGGACAGCGGATGATGGGAATGTGGGTATGGAAGAGGTTGCTATTGTATGCAAATCAATTCAGAGGGAGATACAGCAGAAAAACGTGGGTGGAACATAACTCCAGAAATCTTTAAGGCCTAACTTGTGATGCTACAGGCCTGTTGTTATTCTTCTCTAGATGAAGTTGTTAATGGATAACAGTGGAAGTTATTACAAGATGAGAGAACAGCAGGTATTGTATGTTACTTGAAGGACAAAGATAGTCTAGTAAGTACAGCCTTTCAGAGGTAAAAAAACCAATTGCTTTTAGAATGGAACAGTTCCTCTCTATAAAAGATATTATTCTCTGTGGTAAAAAGAGACTGGTGTTGAGGACTCAGGGAATATTTCTAGTTCAGCATTCCTTTCTCACAGCTGCTTGATGTGGAAATGTACTGAACTTCCTCTAATTCAGGTAGGTGCTGCTAGGTGGAATAGAATCAGGTGCTTAGTAGCTTGCTTGCACTGAGTCTGCAGTCTGTCAAGTGAAGCAGTTTTCCTACAGTGGGCAACTCTGCAGTGCTGGCAACTCTGCACAGCTGGACCTGGCAGCCCTTGGATCTGCCAAGAGAAAGGAAGCCCTCTTAACATAGAACCTGAGGTAAAGGTTTGGATGAACTGGTTGGGTGTTGTCTTTTTAGTAATCTTCTGTTGCATGTGTTCAGATCCCTATCTTCTCTCCACCATTTATGTGGGGAACCAAAATTCTGGACTGTTGGAAGAGATGGATTTTGTATTGGGCTTTGCTTGGAAGCCAGAATTCTAGTAGTGTAATTAAGGATATGTTATGTTAATTTAGGAGATAAACAGCTACTTCTTTTTTGCTGCTTCAGATTTTGAGTTGGAGATACTTTGTCTGAAAATGCTCCTTAGTGGTCTTTCTAAGACAGCTGACTTACAGAGTGGTCTGTTAGAATTTTGATAAAGATCATAAGTGATGTAGCTTGAGGCAGATAACCTGTGCTTACACTTTTCTTTGAAAATAAGAGCTGTTTTCTCTCAGTCACTTTAAAGCACTTAGAGGTTTCCATCTGGTCACACTGTAACTTGTGTGTTTGTGTTGTAGCTGAAATCCTGGGGAACTTGAGATTTTACTCATAACTTTTTGTACAAAATGTTGGGGTTGTGTTAATACCCACCCCAGAAGGGAAGGGTAACTCAGCTTCTTGTTAAAAAATCCTTTGGGGTGGATTAGAGTGAAACAACACTGAATGATCGGTGTTTGTAAATATATATATGTAGGGTATATTTTAGAACAATTTTGTTTCAAAGGAAAACAGGTATGTAGCCATTTTGGTTGTTACCATCTGTAATAATACAGCAATGTTCAAGCATACAAATAAAACTTAAGGAAATGTATAAGGAAAGGAAGAGAAAGAAAGGATAAAAGTGGTGGAAGGAGTCACCACCTGCTGGATCCAGTGATGAAACTCGGTATTGCAGCTTCAATGTCTATTGGTTGAATTGATGGTCTTGATCCGTTGGGGGTGGGGGAAGGCCCCCTAAACTCAAAGATTTTATGAGTTATTATACTCTGCAAGCTCAGGTGGGAACACCTAGTACCTCTCCTGGGGCAGAGTTTTACAGTGGTTAGTGTCAGGGGACATGTCATGAGTCTCTGACACCTTCTAAGAAGTTACAGCTGCCTCTTATGTCAGCATCGGTCATGGTCCATTATGGTCTATCAACTGAGATGAATAGCCCAGGCTAGGTGTGAAATGTCTTCCGATGCTCCCTGGAGGGATTTTCACAGCGGAGTCATCATGTAAGGGAGGACATTGGCATGATAAGAAAGATTATTCCACCTCGCAGGATTTGCCTCTTATCAGCCTCTTCCCTTATCTGGAAATCCATTTTGTTGCTTCAGGTATGCAGGCCCTTCTGCACCTGGGATAGTTGGACAATAATATCCCCTTATCTTATCTCAGGGTCCTTTCACAGTCCAAAGTAGGGGGCATATTGAGGGAGGGGTGGGCTTTGCTGGATGAGCAGCTCTTTTTTTTTAGTTTGCTACAGTGGACAGAAGTCTTTTGGTGATCTTACGATGTTTAAGCCATTAACCATTTCAGTCTCTTGCAGGTTGTCAGCTGTTTGTTTTAGGCAGTGCTTATACTCATGAACCCCAAGTCCCCAGGGGAGTTAGGCTGTCCAAATCCTCAGGACTTTAGTGTTGATGTTGGAAAGATCAGACAACCAGTGCTTTTTGTATTACTCATCAGAAACATACTGTAATTTAAAGCCCACTTCATAGTCATGTCCGCAAAGCCATGATGAATGCTACTGCTGTGTTAATTCAAGATTTCCATTGTGCACCATGGAGACCAAGTTGTTGGAGCTCAGAACCTGTTTTGTCAAAGGCAAATACCTTTTTCCATACAAAGAAAGTCTTACTATTCCTGTCAAAACCATAGCATTATCATAAAAATGTGTATCCTAGGTTGCACAGAGCACCAAGGACCTAGGGAGAGGCGTTTTGTTTTCTCTTTGTCTGAAATGACAAGATCTTGAAGCTAAAACAAATATTCCCTGGCCAGGTAGATTAAGTTACCTATTACAAAGATGTGGAAAAGTTTCAGACAAATCTGAAGAAATTTTGCTTATGATGTTGCAAAAGAAAACCTTTGTACTTCCATTTTAACAGTCTTCACGGTTGTAAAAATCTACTGTCAAGTTTTATAAAGATGGATTTTCTATCATCTGTAGAGGCCTCCTTCAGCAAGAACCCCTACAATCAGTGATCTATTGAAAAAAAAATGTGTTTTTCAGGCATTTAGTCTTAATGGCTGGAATGTTAGACTTTTTGTTTCCCCTTACTTAATGTTCACTGCTCATTTTTTTTCCGTGAGTCACAGAGATGTGGGAGATGTTTGACTGTAGAATGGAAAATTTCTTACCTGATAACTTTTTTTAATATAACAGCAGCAGCATCTTTAATTTTACTTCCCTTAGTTTAGCAGCCAAGAAAAATGTCAACTTTGTCAGTCCTTTTTGTAAACTATTTAGCCAGGTGGACACAGGTTGCCTGATTGGTAGTAGAGGAGTAGTACTAATTTATAGCCTTGAAATGTTTATGCAGCATTGAATGGCTTTTCTAAGACATAGCTGAAGAGGAGGATACATTGTGGTGCTAAACTATCTCTGGAATTGTAAAGAAGTGGAAAAAGTCTGATGTACCATGCAGTAATAATGAGATACAGCAGCAGGAAAAAATACTGGCAAGAAATTTCGCATGCTTTTAATGGGTACTTTTAACTAATAGCTTGCACACACTGGTATCTTTAGGATTGTTATTTCCTTCAAAGCAGTATATTTAAAATCCAAATTAGTTTAAAACTATTATTACCTACCATGTCTTATTTGTGTAATATTCTATAATTGTCTTGTTTTGAAATTACTAGCAAATTTAATTTGTTAGCAAAGCTTGTTGCATTGCAAGTTAACATTCCTCAATAACCTTTTGGAAGATGCTGTCTGTTGCAGTTTCCATTTACATTCTTGTGCTTTTAGTGATTTAAAAATAGTATCTCAGTTTCACACATGAATTCAACCCTAATAGACAACAGCACAAGTCACTTAATTGAAATTACTGAATTTTGTATTCTGTATGGCAGAGGAAGCGCGGTATGTATGTTGCATATTGAGTTTTGTAATGTACTGGGAGTACAGAAGTCTGCATCTGTTAGACTATACATAAGCCCTTGCAGAGTGGACACTTGGAAGACTTGAGTTCTGGTCTTTGGTGATCCTGTGATATTTGCGAGATCATAAAAACAGGTGCAGTACCTTAGGTCTGTGTAAATGTTATCTCATCCCTCCAGTGTTTAATATAGAGAGTTACTTTGTCTTCTCATTCTGTTCTCTTCTATAAAATTAGGACAATTACAGGGGTATATGGTATATGATTTAGGCATCAGCTGAATAGACACTAGATTTGAGGTAGTTTAAATACATTATATTCTCAAAATAGCCTAAGTAATAGCTACAGTATTCATCTTTTAACACATTTAATATGTTAGAATGTCTTTTCCAATTTGCTTGAGGGAGGATCAGATTATGGAAGACTATAGCTGTCATTATGGCAACCTTGAAATTATGACTGCATAACAAATGAAAAAAAAAAAACAAACACAAAACAACAACCAACCAACACAACCAGCACCTCCACCCCACCCCATTATGAAAAGACAAATTAAAACATTAATTGCATACAAATTCTTCACTAATTTTATGTGTAATCTCCTGTTATTGCATAATTTTTCTCAGTACTGGTCATTACTTACTTTTTAGTCATATTTTTAAAGAAACTCCTCAGTTCTTAGGTCATCTTGTACATATTAGTGTTCTTAAAAATTAAGTGATTTGTGGTATTAATATAAATAAAAGTAGTAATAAAATTAAGTTGATCTATGATGATAGGTATTTCTTTGGTAGATAGTGTAATCTGGATATCTAGTATTCTGAGGATGTGCAATTGAGCAATTTAATTCCAAGTCAACGCTTCTGTATGGGTCTTTATTAAAAGAAAATTATGTATTTTTTTCCTGACTGTTTATTCAGGGCTTTGATAAGCAAAGATTCAGCATAGGGTTTTGTTAAAAAAGATGCAGGCATCATAGGAAACCATAGAGTTATGCAGGAAAGATATTCAGGTAAAAATGTCTTGAAATATAGTTTTATTATGCAACCTGAATTTGTCTGAAGCCCCAATTGTTAGCTGTTGTTGTATTCATTTAATTTTCGATATTTAACTCTTAACTGTGATATCTCTCTGTAAAAATTACTTTGTTCCTAATGTTTAAAATCTGTTTCCAGGCTGCAAGCTGCTATATAAACAAGACTTTGCAAGACGGTTAGGACTGAGATGTGTTTCTTGTAATTACTGCTCACAGCTGTGCAAAAAGGGAGCAACTAAGGAACTTGATGGTGTAGTGAGAGATTTCTGCAGTGAAGAGTGCTGTAAAAAATTTCAGGACTGGTACTACAAGGCAAGTAACTCAGAATTTTTGACGAGAGCTCCACAGTTAAAAAAACCAAAAATGCACATGTGAGGATATCTCAAGGACTGTGCAGCAAATATGGATTACTTCAACAAACCATTTGCTATACAATAAGCAAATGTATTAATTTGAGTTTTTTTGTAGATATAGGAGCAGCATTTCTGTCATCAGATTTTATTAATTCATTTGGCAAGGAAGTCTTGAGTTACAGAAAACCAAGAAATTACTATGTTTGTATTTGTTACTTTACAACTCCAATTTTTTCTCAATTGATACCACATTTTTCTTGTCAAAACTTCTTAAATGTGTATTCAGAATGTTGAAAACACTGTTAGTAGCAGGTGGATACCTTGAGTTGACTGACAATAAACTAGGTTAGCGGAGTTTTTCTTGTTCCTGTTTTTGCCTCCTTTTTTGCCTTTTCCCTCTTCCACAGTTTGAACTGCAGAGGCTTATTCAAAGGGAAAAGCAAGACCAAATGGATTTCTAATAAAAGTTTAAATCAAACAGATGGCATCTATTTCTAAATCTCTGGAAGTTTAACTACCTTGTGAAGCACAACCAGCAAAGAGTTCACATTAAGAGGTTTTGTTTACATTTTTTGAAAGAAAAAAGATGAAAACCTGCAATTAGTACCGTGGATAAAATATTTGATCTCTGTTGTGAACATCCTGGAAAGCTACATTGATAATATCAAAACAAGAACTTCAGTTGTGGATGCAATTGCAAAAAGACAGTACAAAATTCATCACTGTACCAAAACTCTGCACACAGCTTGGAAGGCAATAAAAACTTGAAATGTTAGAGGGCTAGATACAAGTCCTGTAATTCAAGATGATCTACCTACCATAAAAGAACTGAATATGAAGACGTAGCTGATATTTTGGAATGGCTGGTTCCAGAAATGTTACAGCCAAATGTTGTAAATTCTTTATTTTGAAAAATGTATGTAGGGTACTGTTAGACATTCCTAAAAAAAACCTACTGAAGACCATGTGTTTCTTTTGTCTCCTGTGAAAATAGGGGGAGAAAGCTTGGCTGCAAAGTTCTTAACTAAAATGTTAACTTCATACAATAAGATTAAATCTATATGCCTTAAAACTTGGGATATGGGGTGAAATTTATCCCTGCATAAAAAGTGCCTTCTGATGGAGAACTTAATAAATCTTTGGTGTGCTTTAGAATCTTTTGGTGATTCAGCAAACAATATAGTCTGGGAGTGTGCATACCAAACTAGTTTTATGTACATAAGCTTCTATGGAAGCTTGTACTGTGATTCAGCTTTGAGAACCACTTGAAAACTTGGGCTTCGGATAACCCTGATTCATGGGATAAGGATAATTGGCCCATGAAGTCTGCTTAAGAAATGCTTGATGGTACAGTGTTATGGGAAGGTTAGATATGCTGTTGTGAAAAGGCAATTTAAACAGATTTTCTGATAACTTGTGACTTTTGATATTTTTGATGATTTTGAGGTGTTAAATATTTCTACTTTTTGAATCTTACACTTGCTAGTGGAATTAGTGTTTCATTATGAAGAATTGTTCATGGTCATTTTTTTCAAGTGCTTCTTAAAGCCTTTACGTAGTTGGGTTTTGGTTATAAAAGGTTGGGATTTATTATATGGGGAAGACATATAATACTTTTGGGAAATTGTGTCTTTTGCTAAAATTGTCTTTTTTTTTTTTTTTCTACCTCCTTGCTCGTAACTTCCACCACTTTTATAAAAGTCACTCCAAATATCTTAGATTTGGTAGTGCTTCAATAGCTCATATTCTTACCTAGCCATAAATAGATGATGATCAAAATGTAGGAAGACTGAATAGATAAGGGCCACTCCCCGAATTTGTACTTCATTAGCTGTTTTGTCTGTTAGCTTCTTAAAAGAATAGTTACATATGTATGAGCTTTGTCTCATTTATGCAATGTTCAGTGTTATTTTGGAGTTTCAATGACTGTATACACGAAGAGAAATAAGTAGTAATAACCTAGTAATGTTTTAACACCATCATTGTGTTCATTAAACAAGTGTTTGTCTCCATCTTCTTTGTCTACTTTTTTTTATGAACACATCTTTCTCATGTAATAATATCTGGAAAATATTGTAATGTTTAGAAATAATCAAATATTATGAGAGAACTTCCCTGAATGCCAAAATTCTCTTCTAAAAAAGCCAAAAGAAGTTAGCAATGGTAGAAGCACAACAACTGTTATCTAGAAGTGTTAGAAGTTAATCAGACTTATCTAGAATTGTCCTTTCAAACTAATATGAAGCATTGAAATATAAAAGAATAATTCAGCCCTAATCATCTGTTGGGCAGCAGCTACAGTTACCAGTTGGTGCCAATTTCTGAGGAAGTTTCTGCTCTATGGTGTCCATGCAGCTCCAAGACAAGAGGTAAAATTGTTGGTATCTTGAGGTTAGCTCCCCAAGTTATTAGACGTTCTCCTGTAAACTTGCATGCATTGATTTAGATATTAATCTGAAAAATGCCAGGGGAATTTCAGTATAAATGACTTTAGTAGCCTGATGTTTGATGACCATTTCAATCATTTGATGTTATCCTAGAGCATTGAAAGTACCTTGAAAAAGAATATACAGTTCTGAGAACAGCACAGAAATCTGTTTCTTTAAACATACATTGAGAAACATTGCTGAAAGTACTACAGCTGAAGTGCACACAGGTCATTCGAGGCTACAGTGGAGAATTGATTAGACTCAGCATGTACAGTGGTGACTGTGTATTCAGTGGAGGTCAGATGTCTGCAGCAAAGAGGTAGGGGTGGGGAGCTACAGTCCGAGGCATAGAAAAATTATTGTGGCTGGTGAGCTCAGATAGCAGTGATTGTCAGCGGTGGTAAAATTTGAAACTGGAGCCAGCGTTAATCAAAACGGTAAAGGCAGCAAGACAGCCTTGTGGAATTTCTCTTATCTGAATTCAGCCGTTCTGTAGATGGCATCTCGATTTCCAGTAAGTACTCTTTCAGAACAGTTGATCTCCTTTCTGATAATCATTCACTCTCTGGAAAAATCTTTTGCTTCTTATTTATTGCAGTTGAAGTTGTAATAGACAGCTAAGATTAGGCCAAGTTAATACCGTTTGAGAACATTTAGGAACAGGTGATGGAAGGATTAAAAATGTAAATAAAAGCCCCCCATATGAAGAGTTTGTTCTTTAACCCAAATTTGGGGCAGACATTAGTGCTTTATACTAATCACCATGCCCATTTGAACATGCTGAAGAAACGGGAAAAGAAATATACCAAAAAGTAGTTACGAGTTGCAAAGGACTTAATATGCAGTTGAAGCATAGGAAGTAGAGATGGGCTTTTTGGAAACAGAGATAGAGCAGACTTGAAGGCAGGTATTTTGGAGAGTCAGTTATAGTGACAGTATTCCAAATGAAAACAAATGGAAAGGGGAAGGAAGGAAAAAGCAGAAAGTCATAAAATCATAGAATGTCATGATAACCATTAATTTACTTTCATTAAATGTCATGGGCAGGGCAGTGGGTGAGCAAGAAGGTAGCAGAAAACTTCAGTGAGTGGAAGGGTGTATAATACTGACTGTAAGCATGATTATGGAAATGGTAGAATTATGGTGGAGCAAATGTAGGGATGAGAAGTGAGGCATCGCTATAAAGGAATCTCAAACTTGCTAAGGAGTAGTAATTTCCATGGGGAAGCAAACCAAAATTTTTTTTTACCAAATTAACTTGGTAGCAGCTCAGGAGAGACAAAGGCCTAAAGCAGACAAGGAAAGGGAGAAAACAGTTACAGGAATCATAGAATCACAGAATAGTTTGAGGTTAGGGGACTTTTAAAGGCCTTCTAGTCCAACACCCCTGCAATGAGCAGAGGCATCTTCAATAAGATTAAGTTGCCCAGAGTCCCATCCAACCTGACCTTGAAAGTTTCTAGGGATGTGCTGCCTACAGTCTCTCTGGGCAACCTGTTCCAGTGTTTCAGCACCCTCATTCTAAAAAACTTCTTTCTGATATCTAATCTAAATTGACCATCCTTCAATTTAAAACCATTACTCCTTGTCCTATCACAATAGGCCCTGCTGTAGGAAGGCTGTAGTTGCTGGATTTGACAAGATTTGACCCATTTTTCTTTCTTTGAAGGAGAGAAAAAATTGAGCAAAAAGTGGTGCTTTGATAGTCAAGCAGCTTGCAACAGATCAGAATAGATCGGCTTTTCTGTACATGGGTCAACTGTCAATCAGTGTTAGGTGGGCTTGAGATTTAAAATTACAGTGAATTATACATATTTTTTTTTCTACTGGTATTTTAGTCTTTTGGTGGCTTTGGAAGATGCATTTACATTAAAGGTGTGAATTCACAGCTTCCCTGAACTGATAAGTCTAGACTATTTTGACAACACTCTACATTTCATCTTCTTCCCCACTCCCTTCCAAGAATACAATTTACTTGCTCTTTTGTCCCACTGAGAAGATACCTGCTGCAAAAAGAACTGTGGATCAGCATCAGTGGAAAGTCCAAGTGATAAATGTAACAAATTTGAGGGAGGATGGGGATAATGCAGTGGTGTAAGGTCTCTGTGTGCCCTGCAGGTACCGAGCACTACTGCTGACACCTGCATAGAGGAGGGGGAGGAGAAATACCTGCCCTTCCAGGGGCACCTGGCGCTAAGCGTGAGGTGATCCTGAAGCTACAGCTTTAATTGCTCCCAATTTAAAGCTGGTTATACTGTTAGAATAGAGTCTCTACATATCATCTTTAAATACTTGAAAATTACAACTGAGAGCTTAGTTTCTTACATTGCCAGAGAATGGTGCCAGACTGTTCAAGTACAGAGAAGGAACTAAACATTTAATTATTTTTTAAATTTGAACTAATTGACCTGTTCATACGTTTTTGGAGTCACTAAAACTGCAATTGGACTTCTTTTTGGTTTGTTTTGTTTTTTAACCATCAGAGCCTTGTGATAACTGCAATGTTGTGTATGGTTTTATGTATTATGTTTTATGTTGCATATTATAACTTCCCTCTTCCTCTTCTGGCTATGTTATTAGGTTGACTTACTTTGGATTCCTGAGCATCTATAAAGCTTTTATTTTTTTAAGGTCTGCTTTAGAGTGGAGGTTGCAAACAATATTGAGGCAAACTGTAGTACAAACAGTTCTTTGCTTAGGTGAAGATGTGAAACTGGGGTCACCACTGTTCAAATAATAATTTATAGCATGGCAGATTAAATGCAGCGGAATCTATTTTGGAGAAAACCGGTATCTGTCTTGTGATGCCTCATGAAATACCATGTAGACTGGTGAAAGATAATGTTCGAGTTTCAAGTTAATTTGCCAGCTAGATTTTGGGGAACCCTCTTTAGTTTGAGAGCAATTGTGGTTTATAAATCAGAGAGAAATTTGGACAAACTAAAGAACCGGAATCTAAAATTGTTGCCAGACTACTAAAATAATGAAAATATAAAACCTATTTACACTAAAGGGCTGATTTGATACCTAGAGAAGTGATTCTGTTGGTGACTTAAACCCACCAAACTTTGGAGGGGAAGATAAAACAACTATTTGTCCTCAGTTCAATAGGATCATTAAGGAGTCTGTCACTTTCTGCTCTTGTTTTGCAGAATGCTTCAATGGAATTAATTAAAATTGATGCATAAAATTATTTTTTTTTGCTGACTGTTTAGAAGTGAGCAATTTTTAAAGACTTAGTGAAGAATTAGTAAAACAAAGTAGATTTATTCAGGGTGTTAACCCCCAGCAAACAATGAAGAATGAAGTAACAGATGTTCCTGTGTTCACAAGTTAGAAGGTAGCATAACTGTTGTAGATGAGCGAGACTTGACTGTGTAGTGGTAATGAGTCCTCAGTACTCTTAAAAATGTGAACTTTTAAAATGTAGAAATAATTATTTTCCAAGGCTTGTTTAAAAATGTCAAAATCTTCCTTTGCATTAAGGCTGTACGGTGTGACTGTTGTAAGTCTCAAGGAACTCTCAAAGAGAAGGTGCAGTGGCGCGGCGAAATGAAGCACTTCTGCGATCAGCACTGTTTGCTCCGATTCTACTGCCAACAAAATGAACCAAATCTGGCAACCCAAAAAGGACCTGAGAACTTACACTATGGTATGTGCTGCTTTATGGCTGATAAATGTCGAACAAGATGCTTCCTTTAAATGAAAAATTGAAAGCTGCATGAATTATTTATTTGTTGTGATAAACTGCATTAGGGATTATCGTATTTTATGTTATCATGAGAGGCATCATTGAGCTGTTTTGGGTTAAGTGTAACTTTAGTATTGTATCATTGTGGGAACAGAAAATGTTTTCCTCTTTTCGTTGTGCTCCAGTTTGTCATTATTTGCTCTGTGGAAACACTTCTCAAAATCCCTTTTGGTCACAGAGAGCAGATAAACGCACTAGGAATGAAAAAAAAATAAATTAAAAGGAATTAAAAGGAAATAAGTGAAATGGAAATGAAAAGAGAATGGAATAAAAGTATCTAGATAAGAGGAACACGCTTCTTTTTTTCCTTTCTGTTGGTAATAGGTACTGTGTAAATTTGCTGATGGACACTCAGTGCAGATTTATATGATGTTAGGGCAAGTCAGGCAAAGTTCATATAAATCAGCTTTTAAATTAATGTAATTATGGCAACACAGCTTCTTTGTATAACTGTTTTCATATTTGTATTCAGACCTGGCTAGAACATTGATTTAGTGTTTACCTTTGTGTAAGACTCAGTACCGGAGTTGAGAGGTGCCTGTGAAGGAAAAGTCTTGGGTGCAGTTCTCACCTGCAATATAGTGCTCATCAGTGCTGTTAATTTAATGTTATATTGATCAGAGATGTTGTCTTGAGTTGCTTACTGAAATTTGCTTTGATTTTGAAGAAGGGGAAAAACAATTCTAAAAATGTTTCCTTATGCTTTTAGATCAGGGCTGTCAAACCCCCCGGACAAAAATAACGGTAAGTACATATATTTAACACACACACACTCATAAATATATATCTATATATAAAAAGCATAACTAGATATATTTTAAACTTGAGATCCTGGTGACTTAAGGGGATGCTATTAAAAAACAAAACTTGGTCTCTTTGAATGATAATTTACAGAGTTTTTTAGTCTTCTTCACGTCAGTAGTTAAAATATTCATACTTTGTCTTTTTAATGTCTTCTGGGAAACTAAATCATCGGCCATTTGTTTTACATCTATAATGCGTTTAAGAGTTGCTTAAAAGTTAGTCAACAAACTGTGTATCTTATTCACATGTTTAGACCAACTGGGTGTATTTATTGAGTATAGAAAGGGAAGAGAATTTCACTGGCCAATTAAAATATGAAGATTGTAGCTCAACTTTGAAAGGCTGAAAATAAGGCTTCATATCTTAAATTTTATAATTCCCAAGAGTAGAATGGTCTAGGTGGTCGAGGTCTGATAGGCTTTGCTGCAGGTGGCAGAGTAGGGAAGCATAACTAACCTTTTGCGGGATTGCTGTCTGGGAGAGTGGGATCATCAGTGAAGCAGCAGCCTTCATTTTCAGTTTCGGTTTTTGTCAGCTTGTCAGAAGTATTGTTATTGTTTTCAGTTAGCCTAGGGTATTTTGTTTGAAACTTAGTTTTGTTTTTATTTATTTGTCACATGGAAGGTCTCAGAACTGCCTATTTTTACCAAGTAAAAAATTGACTCACCTTTTAAATGCAAATAGGCATTAAAGATAAATCTTAGACTTAAGTGAAAGTTTTTTGATGGCATTATAAATATATTTGTGAAAAACACAGAAAATAAAATTGCTTAGGTAATTAGAAACATCAGACAAGCTAAGCTGTCATGCTTAAAATTTCTAGTATTTTATGTATAATGATGTTAATTCAGTCCATAAATTTTTAGAGACCATATCAAAGCTATGTGTGATACAGTATTTTTTAATATATTTTAGAAAGTGTACAACTGTTAGAGTGTACTGCTGCCCTTGGAACTTCACTTTCTTTCCGTGTTTAAAAGGACATGTGGGGATAGTCTTCCTACATATATATGACTGAATTAAACTGAGAGTTTGTTTCTTAAATCAGGTTCCAAAACAGGTGCTAGGGTGCAAAAACCATGTCTGGAACAAGGGGGATTTTTTTACTTCTTGACTGTAAGGATGCGGTTGGAGCATTATGGGATGTTCCCAAGTATTTGTTGTCGCTATTGTAAAGCCAGTAGGGGGAGCTCGAAGTTCATACTTAAGGTACTAAAAAATTGTTTAGAGAATTTTTATTCAGAAGTACTTTTTTTTTTTTTAAAATGGGATCTTTGGATTGTAGCATAATTTAAGAATGCTATAGTTTGCTATACTGCTTATAGTGAATTCTTTTTACAGCTAAAATTACTTTTACGTTATGAAAGTGCTTAAATTGCACTTCCATTTGAACAAGAATGTAAAAAAAAAAATCTTTATCTTAAATTTAAAAACAATAATAACAAAAAAAAAAGGGGAGGGGAAATAAAAAAAAAGAAAATGAGCCAGAATTTGTTATTCATAGTGCTAACCCTGACTGAGTAAAATACAACTAAATGTTACATTCCTGGCAGTGGCACCTCATTACTAGGAATATAGAATAGCTTGAAATTATGGAATAGGAATTGGTCCTGTTGTGTTAAGCTTTTGTGAGCTTCCTCTTCAGTATCTTGTTTATGAAAAGTATCAACTGGTACATTAAGTCAAGAACTTCATGTTGGAATCAGTGTGGAACAACAGCGCGTTCTCTTATTTGCTTGTCTGCAGGGCTCAGCACCACCACCTTCTCCTACACCTAACAGAGAAATGAAGAACAAGGCAGTTCTTTGCAAGCCTTTGACAATGACGAAAGCCACGTACTGTAAACCTCATATGCAGACAAAATCTTGTCAGACAGGTAACTCCTGAACTGTGCTGGAACTACAAATTTCTTTATTGCAGATTTTTCTTAACTGTTATTTTCTTTGAACATATTGCAAATGTTCTGGGTTTTTTTCCCCTAAATGGCAGTTGTAAAATGTATTTAAATACCTGGTAGTGTTCACCTTTTTCTTTTTTCTTTTAACAGAAGATGATTGGAAAAAAGAGTATGTCCCAGTGCCTATTCCTGTACCCGTCTATGTTCCGGTGCCTATGAATATGTATAGTCAAAATGTTCCTGTTCCTACAGCAGTTCCTGTTCCTGTAAGTGAGACTTCAACTTCGTTTTAAAAGTGCATCCATTCACATGCACGTGTGGGACCACTTCATATTGTTGACTGTTCTTGTTCTGGTCTGTCTAAAGCATTGCAGGATGCTGCAGCACTATATATTGAAAAAGCATTAGAATCTGCCAGCAGCACTTAATTTCCTGATTGTTCTTTAGTACCTATCTGCCTGCTTTCAGTGTGAAAATCTTGTGCTGCTGAACTTTTAAGGAACAGTTCTGACTGATACTTTGAGTTTGCTGAATAAGCCTTCAACAGCAAGATTTGTTCTAGTAATGAGGAAGCCAAAAAATTGTGTTGGGGAGGGATGGCAGAATGGGATAAACAGAAGAAAGAAAAGTAAAGGAAAAAATACCAAAACCTGAACTTGTACCAGCAAAAGAAAATAACTCTTAAGTTTATTTTGTTATCACTTATATGCATAGTCTCATCCAAATGGTGGAAAAAACCCCCCTGATTTCCTAAAATTCTGTATTTCACAAACAAGCTATTAGAACAGGATGCTGATTTGTCCAAACTGTTAGTCTGAAGTTGTAATCAGACATGTTTGAAGCTCCAAAGTTCCTTCTGTTCTTTCTTTGACGACCTATATTTTGTCATATTTTTTTCCTTCTGTATTCTTTCCTGCTTTTCCTTCTCTTCTCAATCATTTATATTGAGCTTTTTTAACCTGTCAACACTTTTTGCTAGCTCACATTTGAGTGATTTATTTCTAATCTGTATTAACTCTGTCTTTTAGAAGAGGAGTGTAGAATTTTTTTTCTCTCTTGGCTACTGTTGATGCTTTGTTGCAGCATTTTTTTCTTTTCTCTATTATCTCTGCCTCCCTGTCTGCACAGGTGCCAGTTCCAGTTTTTTTACCCACTACTCCGGGTAGCAGTGAGAAAATCCATGGAACAATAGAAGAGCTGAGGGGAAAAGTACCCTCAGATCCTCTGGAAACTGATCTACTGAACTTGTCAGGGATGGTGCCTGAACATGCTGGAAAAGCGGAAGCTTCTGATGTGACCAGTGAGTTTCCTTGTGAGTTTTTGACTCATTGGAGTGCTAGGGGATGTGTGTGAATCAAGTGAAGCATGGGGTTCGTGGAGGAAGTTTGAGTACAACAGTGCTGTTGTACTGTGCTGAGATCTTATATTAAGTTGCCCTGTGGTTTAACCCCAGAGGGCAACTACGTACCACACAGCCACTCACTTCCCCCACATCTGGTGGGGAGAAGAATCGGGAAAGAAGTAAACTTTGTGAATTAAGAACAGTTTAATAATTGAAACAAAATAAAATATATTAGTTCTACTAACACTAATAAGTACACTGAAGAGGGGAGAGAGAGAGAATAAAACACAAGAAGACTAAGTGATGCACAATACAATTGATCACCAACTGCTGACAGATGCCCATCCTCCCCCAAGCAGCGTTCGGTGATTCCCCAGCCAACTCCCCTTCATATAGTGAACATGACATTCTGTGGTATGGGGTGTCACTTTGAACACTTCAGCTCAACTGTTCTACATGTGCTCCCTCTCAGCTTCTGCGCACCTACTCTCTGACAGAACATGTGAAACTGAAAAGTCCTTGAGCAATATTATTCTCATAATAAAAATTTATGTATCCTGTAACTATATTTTCTCAGTCCACATGTCTCTTTGTTCCTCTTTCCTGGCTCTGCCTGCCACAATCCTCAAGTCTCTTTTGTATCTTTCCAGGAAAATTGGCCTTCGCTCAGGTGAAATTTTGTGAGTTTCTTTCAAGCTCTTTTAACAGGTGTCTGAAAGAATGTTGATAAATTAATGAACAAAGGCCAGTGGAGCTGCAGTCCCAGGAGGCTTCTTGCTTTCCAAACTATTGCCACTCCCCTACTACAAATGCACATTTCTGATGGTGCTGCAAAGTTGTCACTTGCAGTTCCTTGCTCTCTTTTGTGAAGTACAGCTAAATGAGTAGATATATGGCATCAGAGCTTACTCATTTGCAGAGGACTGAATTTGGAGAAATCTGTCTTCGCCAGAAGTTGGAAAGAGGTCAAACTTTGTTTCTCCCTGCCTACTTGCCATGTTTGTTAAACAGATACTACAAAAAGAAACTTGAAAATCTGTTCTGTTATGGGAGAATCAGGTTGAAAAATAGATAGTTAGGTTTGTCAAGCTTGTTTGAGTTCTGTGATTGGTTGATATGATCCAGATTCATCAGTATTTGATTTTCTATACGTATGCTTTGCTGACTCATCTTAATGAAGAGGACAAAGAGCTAGTAAGTATCTTTTATGTTTGAAGGAAGTCAGATTGGAGAAGTAAATCTGAGTTCTCAATAACAACAAAATGTAGGATGGTGATGAGCAGGACAAGCAGCTTTAGAAGCATTTGTGTTGGTTAAAATAATGAGAGTTTTTCTTTTTTTTTTTTTTTAGCAAGTGTGATAGCTGAATCAAGTCTACTAAACTCAGAAACAGAGTCACGGATAAGCTTGCCTGATATTCCATATGAGCCAGACCTTGATATTGAAATAGACTTTCCAAGAGGTAATTTTTCTGTGATTTTAATAAATACTGTGACATTGTGTGCATCCATTGTACCTTGTTTAATCATCCTTTCAGAGAAACTTAATTTGATTGCAGGATCCACATAAGCGACTGTTAGGTAAAACTTTGCCATGTTGTTGTAAGACTGGGGACTTCTGAATTAGTTCTCCTATCTTTCTAAATACAGTATTTGAAATAATGCAAAAAAAAAGGGAGTTTACCTTTCACAGAGAACTTGGCTGCATCATTTGTTTTGAACATGGATTTAGGAAAGCTGTTTTGAAGACTCAAGGAGTCAACTGGCATATGTCTTGGAAAACATAATGAATGCCTTCTTTAGTTGCCAGGTATTTCCATGGTTTAGAGCAGAAATGACAATTGGCATGCTGCACACCACTTGTATTACATTTTAATATCTTGTTGATGTCCATACCTGTATTTAAAAAGGTAGCATTGTTTGAATTTGAAGCAGCGAAATCACTACTTTGAGTCCTTTGTTGAAAGAAGCTCTTGGTTTTATATAGTACGTTTTTTATCACTCTACAGAATGCAGGGAACAGTATCTGTTTCCTTTCACCATGTCCTAATCAATCCAAGATCCAAGAATGCTTGTTTCTGGCTCTAGTTAGTGTCCCTCTTGACATAGCTTCTCTTGGACATACAACTGATACCTTACCAGGGTAGCTTCTGTATCTAATGTTGAGACTCTCCTTTTGTGTTCTGCCGTAGGTAACCACAGTAGATGCCCAGACTGGGTTTCTCACTTTACTGTATGTCTATTTTAAAGAGAAAGCCTGGGGGTTAGTCTGACCTTAATTTTAGGAAGTTTACTAGTCAGATGTGTACTAGATTTTTAACCGTCTTTGTAAGTGAGGCTTGGTACATGAGAAAGGAAAACCAGGGAAGAAAAGAAATAAAGTGGAATAGTAACAGCAGTCTGTAAGAGATTGATTACACTGAAGTGCTTCTGAGATAATAGTCTTTGTGATAGCAGGAGAAGGACTGCTTTTTAGTCTAGGGCAGAGTTCATAAATCTTTGGATGTGAGTGCTGTTTCATCCGCACCAGTTTGAGAGGTGTCTTGAGAAGTAAGGTGGTAAAATCAGACTATCAGAAAGGCATTCAATTTTGAGTGAAGACATTGTTTGATGGCTAAATGAGGGATGAACCACCTTCAGTAAAATAAATAAAGATGGAACTTCCAACATTAAATCCATTCATATGTTGTCTCATTCCACTGTGCTGCTTGAAATAGAGTCCATCACCCTACCCATGAAATGTTAGGTAAATAGTATTTTGACAGATTACCATATATCTGTTTAACGAACTCACTGTAATATCCATCATGAGCTAGACCTCCACCACTTGTATAAATATAGACTAAAGCCAGTTTTTCTGAAGGGAATTTGCCTTCTGGTTCTTAATATTTCTAATCAAATATAATGTGCTTTATAAAATATAAACCATGAGTAGAAATGATAGAAATACATGAACAGAAGTGCATGTACTAATTTGTATTTTTTCCAGTCATAGCTGTTCATTCTCACCATAAGTAAAACTTCTTGATACCAAGAAAGCCTGGGCAGAAAAAATTATGTAAGAGCCCACTGTAAGAAATGCTGCCATGGTGACTTCAGATAATGTTTGAAAGTGTTGAGCATTGTGTCCTCTACAGAAATAGACATTTTGACAGCTTTGTCTTACTTTAAATATAAGAATAGGTCTTTGAATATAAGAATCCAGTCTTTGGTAATGTTTATATTTGTACCTTTGTGGACCCCTTATGTTAAAGCACACTAATGTAGCTCATTGTTTTTTTCAAAGCAGTATTATTCATAGGATGTTTAGAAATAAGTTTCTGTTAATGTATTTTCAGCAACTGAGGAGCTTGATACAGAAAATGAGTTTTTATTACCTCCTGTTTTTGGTGAAGAATATGAGGAACAGCCAAGGCCTCGGTCCAAAAAGAAGGTAATTTTGTCATGCTATTAAAAATATCCAAAAAAGCACAAAATTTAAGTTTAATTATCATACCACTCTAAAACATGTTACTGTCTATTAATATCTAGTATCCTATATTTATTATGTAAATTGATATATTTCAAATAATAAAATTATTTCAGTCCTGTGTCTGTTGCAGATAACTGTTGGATTTAAGAGGAGTGTGGTTTGTAATTTCTGATCCCATTTTTGCTTCACGGTGGTAGAATTATTGATGTAATGTGCTAGTTTGTACTGTACCTGCTGTACTCTTAGTAATGCTTTTCTGCCTTCTACTTTGAACAAAGCTGTCTTGGTTTAATTTGGTAGTAAAATGGAAGAATTCTGGCATTGCCATGGCTTATAATGGGAGCTATAGCATCTTCTGTATAAAAGAGTTTAAAAAAAATTATTTCCTTGTAATTTTCCCAGACCTTATTTTCAGTCAATCTTAGCTTAGACATTGCAAATAAATTACCCATATTCTTTTATTTAGAAGGACACTAACAGGAAATAATTTCCTGTGCCTGACACAAAGCTGAAATGATTTTGTTCCAATAATTGCAGTAGATACTGCAGCTTTAAAAAAACCAGCCAACTTCTAGTAAAGCTTTCTAAGAACAAATGTGTCTTTCTAGTATTAAGGTCGGATTCTAAACTCTCAGTATTATCCACTGGATGTTATCCACATATGCACTACTGGACATGCTTTAATTTGGGACCAGTGCTGGCTTTTCCATTGATGGGTTCTGTTGAGCCTAAAAGTTGAGCTTTTGGCATAGATTTGTAGCATCTTTAGCTTCTTGTACATTAACACAATGAAATCCTATAAATACATCAAATTATTTGGTACATCATATGTTTGTTACATAATACAATAGAACGAATACAGCAACTCCATTATCAAAAATTACTGTCTCTGTTAGGAACCAGTTTCAAAGGTGAATTAGAAACATCTCTCAGCTTAAGTAGATGCTCTCCGTAGAAGGATGATCAACAAAGAAACCATCACCTGGATGAGTGTGTGTTTCTTTGAACGTTCAGTTTGTACTTTGGCCTACAACTTGTTCTGCCCAGGTTCTGTGTTACTGCTGTTGGTGACTGCTGGTGGTGTTAACCACTGTGTTTCCACGGCAGGGAGTCAAGAGGAAAGCGGTGTCTGAGTACCAGTCGCACGATGACAGCTCTGAGAACTCTGAGTGTAGTTTTCCATTCAAATATGCGTACGGTGTGAATGCATGGAAGCACTGGGTAAAGTCTCGATATTTAGATGAAGAGCTTCCAGAACTAGAGGAACTGAAATCAAGTAAGTATTTCCACAAGTCTGGCATCCAGATTCTTATTTGGTAGGGAAAATTGCTCTACTCGTATGATTCTCAGCTGGGATTTTTAATAGAAGTTGTCACATGTCCCTAATGTTCCCACCATGACTGAGATTATTTTATCACAGAGCAGCCAAACTCTTTTTTTTCTAGTTTTCCCTGTTTGGTTCAAAATGCTGGGTGTCACACTTCTCATGCAATCTAGGACAACACCGTCCTGGATCTTCTGACTTCCTGTGACCATTTTGATTTTTTTGGTCTGCATCCTATTTTTCCTCATATTCTAACCTCAGAATTCACATAATTTCTGGACTTCTGAATTGCAAGGGAGGGATATCCTACTCTTTTTCCTGGAAAATGATCTTCATCTAAGGCTGGCATTACCTGGCTGTGGAGCTCTGGCACAAGGTGACTTTCAATCCTGTGGAGCCTTACTGCTCTTTCTGCAACATTCCTCTCTGTGTACATTTATACTGTGACAGAAGAGGGAAATTGCTGCTACTCTTGCTGTTCTTTACCTCCTACAAGCATCTTAGCACCCTTGTGTTATGCTGTTGGATCTTTGGAAACTGCTGTTTCCCCTGAAGGTGCCTCTCTACACCATTGTCTTCAGCATCTTGGGCTGCTTCTGTATCATCCTCAGCTGTGCATGACAGTACATTTGTTAGCGAGTGTTACTGCATTTGGTTAACTAGACTTTACTCTGATAGCCTTGTTTATTTTAATACAAACCTAACATTTTAACTACTTAGTATATTTTAGTCTTGTTCACTGGTTAGTGGAGAGGACATCAAGCCTGTTTCTCACTTTCCAGCCAAAAAATATCCCATCTCACCCTCACTGTGTGATAATTCTGTTGTATAATGTAGCATTTTTTCTCTATTTTACAGTAAAGTCTGTGAAATTAAAGGAAGATCTATTATCACATACTTCAGCTGAGTTAAACTATGGGTTGACACATTTTGTCAATGAAATTCGAAGGCCAAATGGAGAGAACTATGCACCTGACAGCATCTATTATCTGTGTCTTGGGATTCAGGAGGTTAGTAGAGGCTGTAGAGATGGGAAATTAAGCTGCTGATTTGACTGTAACCCATTTCAGTGGAAGAATGGTGATAACATGGATTTACTGGCTAGGAGCTATTCTTAATATATGGCTATGATCTGGAACACAGGCTACTCTGTAAATCACATTGCAGAAGGATGTCTGTATAGGAAGCAAGTTTGCAGACCCATCCTGAAAACTCAAATACAAATTGGTATATTGTAATAATTTTAATATTCTTGCTGGCTTAAAGCAAGTAATTAGCAGTCAAAAATTACATAGTTTTTCCAAATGCTGTGCTTCATTTTGTTTGCTAAAGATGTCTAATGTAAAAACAGAATGAAACAAGGCATGATCTGTAAAAGTTTTACTAATTCAGTTACTTAACATATAGTGGAAACAAGCTAATTGAAGTGTCTTTTGGGGAGGGTCTAATTTACTGAATATTGCAGACTGTGGACAGTCAGGATAGAGTGCAGGGAACTGCTATATTGGCTGTCTAACACACAGTGAGATAGAAGGAAGTTAGGTTAGATGTAATGTATGTGAAGGCAATAACATATATCATTAGATAATTAGAAAAGCTATTCCACAGCTTAGCTTTTAAGCAGGGGATATCTTAATTTTTGATACATAAGGCAAAACACAGATGGAATAAGCAGTGTTCAGAGCTGAGAGCACAGAAGATTTCATTCAAGGCAATAAAAAATGCATATGATGTGGAAAGCAAGCTGTTCACAGGGCTTGCAGTCCTACTTAAACTGTTCCATACTTGAGGCAGAGGACTTGAATCAAGTAAAAATTTTTTAATTGAAATATTTTTAAACAATATCTCCACTAATTCTTCTGTGTTGCAAGTACGCAAAATTAAAGAGTTAATTTATATTTTTACGTCATGGTTGAAATTCGACAAGTGGTCATTCATTTTAGTCAATGGCTTTTCAGTCAATATTGCTGCAAGGCGTGTTTCAAATTCAGCTAGCTTTCTGCTTCTGCACTTGCATGATACACTGTCTCTCTGTATCTTTCTGTTGAATTGAAAATACTTGTGTTAAGCTGATAAACAATACACAGAGTGAGGCATGTGTTTATAAAATGAAACTCAAATTATTGGGTTTTTTTTACCTTTCTCTTTGTGCCTTTGACATAGACTATTTTGTCAGTCATGAAAGCTAGTTATGTGTAAAACTTCTTTTTTCAGCTCTTCAGAACCATAGTTTGTGTGGCACAACACAATTATTGTGTGTGGCACATACACAATGCTGGAACACTAGTGGAACAATGTGTGGTCACTTAATTATTGCTTATACTTAGTGTCCAGTGTTTAATTCAGGTGATGTTAACAGGCCTGATTAGTTGTCCAAATTGTGCCACTGCTGTTTGGACTGGTAGGAAGACATGCCCTGTTCTGATGAGTTTGCATTTCACAAAGGCAGACAGCAAGTGAAGTACAGAAACATGTGAACTGTCAAGGGCTGCAGCCATCTTCTGTGTGCTAATGGCAAATTGTACATATTGGGGTGTGTGTTACCCTTCTGAAGAAACACGTTTAAACAAGATAGTGATACACTAAATGCAATGTAGTTGTCACAATGTACAACAAAACTCCATTGCCTTCTATAACTTTCCTAGTCTTTTTCCATCTGTGTGGGTACCCCTGAAAGAGAATAAATTGTCTACTACTGCATGAAAAGTACAGGCTTTGAGGAGAGGCTCAGAGGAGATTAAACGATGCCATTTAAGGATGAAGTTGTGCCAAAAATCATCAATGCTTTGCTAATTTAGAGTAAGTTTCTCTTCAAAGGAAGAGAATGTAGGAACCATAGGTTAGTAAAGAAAGTACTTTTCTCCTCCACCAGAATTACTGCACTCACTGTGGCTTAATGCACATGCAGGTTGGAGCTTTTCCTCGTGGGTGTAATGTGGTTTGAGCATAGGTGAAGTGCCCAGGAGCCTTCAAGACCTAAGTTGGTGGTTTTTGATTTTGTGAAATAACTTTTCCTGAAGGAAGCATTGTAAAATCTGTTCCAGGAATCTGGTCCCTGAGTCAGATAGTGCAGTCTCTCAGTTCAGGTTCATTTGCAGCTGAAATTGTTCTGTTTTCAGACAGAAGTGGTTCAATAATGGTTCTTGTAACGCTGAAGTACTGATCTTGAAAAATATCACACTTAAAGGTTGCCGCATGGTCAGGCAGGCATCTAGTAGAGAGGGTTCATCTAGAAAAAGGTGTTAGTATGCTGGTGCTCCTCTGCTGCATCATGGCCTTCATTCTTTGTCCCAGTGTAGATTGGGATTTGGGGTTTGTTTTCTTTGTATGTCTGGTAATGGGGGTGTTTGGGCAAAATTCAGGCTGATGGAGTTGGCAGATGTTTGTCTGAAGGTGCTGTGGGCAGTGATTCTGCCTCTTCTCCTCTGTGGGATTCAGAAGCCCATCCAGCCAGTTCCTTCCTTTTTGCTGCAGTTATAGTAGAGCTCATCCCAGGTGGGAATAGCCTATGCTAATCCTGCCTCCCTTAGAGTTAGCAGAGTAGCAGAGCACAGTGTTACAGTGTGGGAATGAAGGTTTGCAGATGCATGTTGAGTGTTACGTTGCAGTCTCTCCCCTGCTACATGACACTGTTCTTCTTTAGACTCTCTAGTGCTGCTGGTCTGGAGTGCTTCACAGATTTCTACTGGGGATGTCAGGGTTTAGCCAAGCACTTATTCTGAACCAGGAAACAGAAATATATTTTTAGATGAGTTCTCACAAGCTTTTGTGTGAATTGGTTTTGTTCTGATTTTCAGTCTGATTTCATTTTCACTGCCAGCATTCAGTGTGAGTGTTTAATGAAAACCAGAGAAAAACAAAAATTCATGGAGGGGCAGACTCCGTGAAGCTTCTAGTAAGCTATATTGTCTGGTTTAGAATTGCTTTATGAAACTAGTACTGGTATATGTAAAAACAAGCACATTTGGGGGAATATTGTGTTTTGAAGAGTTAGTTAAATGTATTGTATAAAATAGTTATCTAAATGAAGGAGTTGTGTTGGAGACTTCTAGGAAGTGCATTCATTCATTTTTCTGTATTATAAATCTAAGTGCAAAAATAAAGAAGCCAAGATATGCTGGACCGCGACCACCTAGTGTTTAATGAGTGCTGTCTTTAATGCTATTTCAAGTATGTGTACAGAAATAGATGCCATTTTCAGAAATGAGTACATTTTTTGTCTGTCACTTTTATTGTATTCACTAACAGGCTTGTTCCTGCAAAGATAACACTGAAGTGGAAAATTTAAGAAACCAATCCTCTCTTTTTTAGAAATGTCTCCAGAGAGGGTAATGTCAAATACTGGTATAGACCTCAGCCAGTAATTCTTGGTAAAGGTTTAAAAGTGTTTCTGTCTGTGAAGTCAAGAAGGTTAAGATAATTAGATTGCAGAATAGGCAAGTGCCTTGCACCATCCTGTCATTTTTCTTGCACTGCTGCATGTCACTATGGGGTGTTTTTTGCTCCCACTTTTGTGTTGAAGATGCTTTTGTCACTGTCCGGAGTTCACATTTAAAATGGCCAACTCTTGCTACATATGGGGTTTTCTTCTTTGAAGACCTAGGTGGAGGAAAAGATAAATAAGTTGTTTGTGGTTTGTTTTTTTTTAATGACTCCCCATTCACTGATACAATGTTGCACACAGGAAATCTTAGAGAAAAATGTTAGAGTTGTAATTAAACTATGATTCATATCCAGTTAGGAATTCACAACATATATTATATTGGAGGTAAATTTTAACTGTTAAATATTGGAAAAGTGGCATAGCTTTATTGTTAGATACTCTTTTTCAGTACAATGCTTGCGCATTTATTAAAAAAAGAACCCTGTACCACAGGAGTTGTTCTAATCTGGAATCATAAATGCTGTGTCTTTCTCTCTTTTCTGTAGTATTTATATGGAAGCAATCGAAAAGACAACATATTTATTGATCCAATCTACCAGACGTTTGTCCAGGAATTAAATAAAATCCTTAGAAGTTGGCAACCAAGCATACTTCCAGATGGTAATTTTCTTTTCAGTGATGTATGTTTTTTATCTCTTAATAGTTCTGTATTCTTAAGCACACACATATATATGTATATAAAAACATTTTATGCATTGCGATAGTAACTGATGAAGAATTATGAAGATATCATCTAAGATTTCAGTTAAGGCTGTATCTGTTCTTTTTGTCTGGTTTTTGGGTAATCTGTGCTACAAGAGTTGATTTTGCCACTGCCTGTTAAAATTGACTATCTGTTTTTAGGAAAGAAAGTCAGAATAAGCTCTTTGACCTGTAGTTTTTACCTGAGCTAATTTTTTTTTTTTTTGGTCCATTTTTTTCCCAGCAGGAAGCAGACAGGCAGGCAGTGGGCTATGTGTTGGTAGGGCTAACAAGTGATGTATTTTAGCCTTTCTTGGCTGGATTAGGAGGACTCTCTGATGTGGGTCTTCTGCTCAGGAGGATCGTCAGTTCATGGAGAAAGCAAATTTTCCCCAGCAGATAAATGTTGGTGCTGAACTGGAGAATCAAGTGTTCTTCCATCTTTCTCACAATCCCCTCTTGAGTGAGGGCTTGTCCTTGCCAGATGCTTTCCTCTCTCTTTTTGTTATTGACTTCTCTCTGTATAGCTCTTGAGAGGCTCTGTGTTGGGTCCTTCCTGTACCCTGTTGATCCTTGTCAAGGAGTGCTTTCCATGTGAGATATTCATTAGTAATAAGAAAATAAGAAAGTATGCTATTTGGAGGCCTTACCTGAGCAGAATAAAATTAACTCAAAAATATGCTTTTTATGAGGGAATTAAGATTACCCCCTGAGCATTTATTTTTATGTAATAACATGAGGGAGCTGCATGTCAGCAGTGCTGTTGTAATTAAACAGAAATGTGTTCCCTGTGAAATTACCTATACTGATATTTCCCATTGACTGTCTCAGTGAGTGTCTATGTCTTTAAGAGGTGGTTTTGGGGGTATGGACATATAATTAAACATGTTTATTAGAGGCTTCTGTCATGAGCATTTTGTTACATTTCACAGTAAACAGAAACTTGATTTTTTGCACCTGGACAGTTTATGGGCTAATTCATTGTATTTTCTCCAATATTCTTTTTTTTCCAAGGATCAATATTCTCTCGAGTTGAAGAAGATTACCTTTGGAGGATTAAACAGCTAGGATCACATTCACCTGTTGCTCTTCTGAATACTCTGTTCTACTTTAACACTAAATATTTTGGCCTGAAAACTGTGGAGCAGCACTTAAGGCTTTCTTTTGGCACTGTTTTTAGACAGTGGAAAAAAAATCCGCTAACAATGGAAAGCAAAGCTTGTCTTCGATATCAAGTGTCTTCCCTGTGCAGAGCTGATAGTGAAGGTACTATAACTGTTGAAAATTAGTACTACTCTTCTGAGGAATGTCTGGGCATCTTGCCTTGAGCTGGAGCTTTACCTTTGCATAAAGTTTAGCAGCTCTCAGCTCCCAGATCTCTAATCGGAGTGTGTGGTCCATGGAGACTACAGGGTCTCTGTGCTAAGTGATCTCTTTGAGCCCACTGGTCTCCCTGTAAAATGCTGTGACTTTGCTGTGGCTGTGGGTGGCATTTCCAGTTTGCAGATATGCATAGTTGTGGTGGGCTGCCTGCACTGGGAAGTTTATTGAAAATTGTAAACTAACTTCAAGTTATATCTTAGATGTTGTTGATTTTCTTCTTAAAGATAAAATTACTACTGGGAAAAGGAAACATGAAGATGATGTACCAGTATTTGAACAAATTGAAAACACGTCTGATCCAGCTAGATGCCCTGTGAAAATGTTTGAGTGCTATCTGTCTAAAAGGTAAGTATGATACAGGGTAGTACAGAAGGGGTCTAGACTAAACCAGATGCAGAAGGGAACTGTTTTGATGCAACATGAAATGCACTCAAGCAAAGGGAATGGATTGAGATCATCTGAAAAATACCTAAATGAAAGTATTGAAATCTCCCATTCTGTATCTGGACAAGATGGGCAGAAGGTGTGGGAGCAGCGGAGTACTTCGATGTTAATTGTCAAAGACTCCTTCTGAAAATGGCAGTACGATTCAATTTTCTTATCTGTGAACACCCAGTATCTCTGCAGAGAATTACCAGCAAGGCATCTGGTAGGTTTTGCTGCTGAGGGTTTTGTTTGTGAGGTCCCCATCTCTTCAGTAACAACTGGATTGAGACAATGGGTTTCCTGCATTATAAGTTATCAGGAATCTGAAATGTAGATGCTTTTGAGATACCTAGTGTGAAAACATGTTTGTAGTATTTTGTCCTAGGAAAAGTTCTATGGATGGTAACCCAGCATTTAGAAATAGCTTGTTTCCTTCCGATCTGCACAATTAATTGTGCGGGAAGGAAGCAGAAATTAATACATTAAAAAAAACCTTAGGCAACTCCTAAAAGAATTAATTTAGTAGCTAATTGTTTTGGAAGCTTGAAAATGGGATTCCTTGGGAAATATGTTCCATTATTTGTAACAGCCATTCAAGTGACTGATTTTAATGTAGATTTTATGTAGTTCTAAGGGGAATATAGGCAAGTGATACCAAAGAAATAAAGTCACCTTGTATATACAACACAATAAATGAAATGAAGTATGAGACCCAACATGCATTAGGAAACAGCATCTTAGTCTTAAAGGTGAAGAAAGCGCTTACACACAGCATCAGTGGAAGTGCAATTATGTTGTGTTGTAGAGAGAAACAGTTAAAGAGTAGCTTGTGGTCTGTTAATGCAACCACCTGTTTTTCATAAACTCAGTTAATTCTGATTGTTGCAGGAGGATTTTGCCTTCATGTCGTGGTTTGGAGAGGATATGTTGTTAAAGAGTTGAAGATGGATTTTTTAACTGAGTTACACAGCCACTAGGGGAGAGAGAACACATAATTCTTTTTTTCTTTTAGAAACATCTCAACTTTGGCAAAAAGAATGCACTTAAAGCCATTTGGAGCATCATTTATGGTGTGGTTTCAAGTCATGGTGTCTTGCACACATTGGTCACCATTGCTAACTAAAGGAGCAGACTACTTCTCCTGGTTCTGCTTCTAATAACATACATCTTGTATCTTTGTTGAAATAATTCTAATGAAATATTTAACACTTTAAAAAGTATTGTAAAATTTTAGGCAATGCCAGCTGATTGAAATATACTTGGCAACCAGTGAACAGCTGCAGCTGAAATTTCAGGATGCTTTCATTCAGAGCTATGAATACCATATCATTGTCTCATTAGGTCTCAAGCTGTGCCAGGGGAGGTTAAGGCTGGACATTAGGAGGAATTTCTTCACAGAAAGAGTGATGAAACGTTGGAATTGACTGCCCAGGAGGGTGGTGGAGTCACCATCCCTGGAAGTGTTTAAGGAAAGACTGGATGTGGTACTTAGTGCCATGGTCAAGTTGACACGGTGCTGTTCTGTCATAGCTTGGACTCAATGATCTCAGAGGTGTTTTCCAACCTAATTGATTCTGTGATTGCTTGTTCCTATAAAAATAATGGCTTTTCAAGAAAGTAGGAAGGAGGTTCAGATATTACTAGAATATTTTAAACATTCATATTTGGTTCTTATCTGACTCTGATTTATGTGAGAGCAGAATAAGCCAACATTTACCCTAGCAGGTGAAGAGCAATACTTAAAATCTCATCAGCCAGTTTGGGAAGGTGAGCTGGTAAAAATTCTTAATTTTACTGAAGAAACATGAAATGGAGTTGACTCCTGAGATCTACAGCATTTGTGAAGGAGGGAACATGAGTGGGCACTTGCACATACAGAATTGAAAATTCTTTTCTGAGACTTGCCTAAATGGACAAAAGGCTAGAATTTCCTTAAAGGAGCCTTTTCTAGTGGCTTAGAGGATGTTTCTGAGATGGATCGAACTCCATAGTATAGTTGGTAAGGAATTAAGCGATGAAGATTTATAACAACCAACCTTTTAAGTAAAATAGGAGGAGGGGGGATTTTAGCTTGTTGTATTTCTGAGCATCTCAGAACTACCATCCTTGATTTTTCAAGAGAACCCCAGGCTCTAATTCAGAGATAGCCTTATCAGCCAGTGATTGTGCGAGCAATTACAGATGTCAGTGTTGGGCCTCTTTGCAAATCGTAGAAAGTACTTCCTGGTTTAACAAGTCCTGGATCTGCAGATTTTTGAAAGCTGGAAGAGTCTGTGGTCTCTCGTATGCTTGCGAAGTCCCAGGCATCTGGGACTCTGAGGCTGCTCTGAGGATGTGGGATTGACTGGGCTTGGGCCAGACCTGGCCATGGCTCCTTCTGTGAGCAAGACTGCATTTCTCCACACTGTAACTTGCCTAGGTGCAGTTAAAGTTTTGTTTGATCAGGATTTTGGAATTGCTAGTGTTCTGTTTTGTCCTGTGAGGCTGTTTTTCTAACCCCCTTTTTTTAACCTCCTTGTAGCCCACAGAATCTGAATCAGAGGACAGACATGTTCTATCTGCAACCAGAGTGCTCTGTCTCCGCAGAGAGTCCCATCTGGTACACTGCCACTTCACTGGACCGCAACACTTTGGAAAATATGCTCGTACGGGTTCTTTTAGTAAAAGATATTTATGATAAAGACAATTATGAACTGGATGAAGACATAGATTAAAACAAACTTCCAAAAAACTGTCAAGCAAACAAACAGCATTAGATATAGTCATGCTGCTAGACCTTTACTATGGAAAACATTTCAAGTTTACCCTTTGTTTTATGAGTTTTGTAGCAGTGTGTACCCTAACGTGGGTATTACCATGTAAATAGTCTGTGAGTGAAAGTTTCCATTATTCTGTGTAGTGGTTTTAGGATACATAACAAACACATTTCAGATTTTCTTTTTTTATTATTTATTTGATTAGATATGTTTGTAACTTTTTACATTGCAAAATATGAATGAGAATGTGCCATGTGTATTTTTTTTCCCCCCTTGTAGTACAAGACATCCATGTTGCACAACTCTGCTGTTGGAAGCTCTCACGAAAGGAGGCTCTTTTAATAGCTTCTTAAACTGGATGGTTGTGTATGGGTAGCACTACTAAAGTTTAGAACTTGCTGTGTCTTTCAGAATTTTTAAATGAATTGTAAACTAATAGGTTTTTTACTTTTTAGTTACTGAAGCCTTATGAGGTTATGTAGAGAGATTCCATCTTATGTACCAAAAACAGACAAAAGAGAATGCTGTCAATATTGGTGTACTGTAATGTGAATCTATTCTGGTGAAAACATTTTTTGTTGCCCTTATTAAAACCCTAGTGTCCTTTCGTTATTTGTGACTCTCTCTCAATTGCCCCTGCAAATAAAAAATATATATACAAATAAATGAATATAAGCTTAGAGCATGGGGTCATCAAGACATGTATTTTGTAAAAAAGAAAACTAAAACCAAAAACCCCTCAAAAAAAAAAAAAAGGAACAAAAGAAAAAGAAAAAAAATCTGATGACAATGCTGTATAATCCTTTTTCATCTTTACTTTTCCAATCATAGTTGCCAGTACCTCATATTAATGTAAATTTGTCCTTTGTAGCCTTAGAACAAGGGGTTCTCTGCTGTATTACATGAAGTAATACGGTACGCTAAATTTTTAACCTTTGTTTATCCTTGCATTGCTGTATTTAAATACAGGCAATACTTGACTATGGGTGGGAAAATTCTTAACTGATGCCTCCATTCAAAAGCCATATGAGATGTGAAGTTACAGAAAGTCGAAAGACAATTTTTCTTGAAGAAAAGTCCTTTTGTTTGTTTATATCCTCTTGTTGTACTTACTTTGCATAAGTAGTCTTATTTCCAGATACACATTTAACTGCTCAAGTTTTGTTATTTGCTCTTATTTAACTGATGCGAACAATATGGTGGTTCAAGCAATGGGTTTGCTATTGTACTGAAAAAAATGTAGTAGAATATTCTACTATAAAGTAGTCATAAGTTTAAGTCTCTCCTAAATGGCATTAGCCATCTACTAAAGGAGAAAGTTTCTATGTATATATATTACCGCCCAAGCATTAATTTCTTGCAGAGGCTGCATGGCTTTTTCATCTTCCTTAGCTTAGAGGATTACACATAAGGACGCATCTTTCTATACAGAGAAATAAAGCTTCAGTTGCTTTGTTTTGTTAAGCAAGTTTATTTAAATTTCTGCTATTCTGGTGTGTCTGTGAGTATGTATTAATTTTAGATATACTACTATTTCAAATGGAGATGAAGATGTACATGTTTAATTTTTCATTTCTTTCTGGTGGCATTACCCTTCCTGTGAGATCAAGAAATACTGCGCAGCACCAGTGAGTAGATCACTAACAGCTTCAATGCACTTCTCCCTCTGTGAGTGAATACTTAGTTCGTTAACACTTGTTTTTTTTTTTTTCAAACAGCAGCCATAGAATGTGTCCATGGTACATAAAAGTGATGAAATCAGGAATTGTAGTCATTGTTTTGTTCTGGTGTCCCCAGCTTTTTTAGCACCTGAATTGACCATAAGTTAAATTTTACATATGGGAGTTGTTACTAACTACCCGTGTAAAATGCATCATGTGCGTAACTTGAAATACTTCATTTAAACACACCTTTAAGTGTTTTGATAAATAGCAGTAAGGATCACTTGCAGCCCCTTCTCTACAGTTCAGACTTCACATACTTCATCAGGGGCTTCAGTTGCTCCCTGATTACAACAGTGTTTAACCACAAATACACTCTTGTAAAACTGCAAACTTTTAACGGGAAGCTGAAAGTTAAGTATATTTGTTGAGTGTTTTGTCTTAAACAGAATTTTAAATTCTGGTTCTCAAAATCAGATTAAAACTATTTCTTAAATAGTAACGTCAGTCTTTAGTGTGGCATGTTGAAGAATGTATAGACATTTTCAACATCATTAGGAAATAAAAAATGCTTTCTAAAGGTTATAAGAAATCACGTTATTGTCCTAAATTCCTCCCATTTTCTACCCAAGATTCATCTGGGAAAAAATATCCAAGTTAGGTCTTGAAATAGAAGTTTTTACATATAGATCCGTGTTGGAAATATAAAGATGGTTTCCAAGAACAGAACTTTTATTCCAGAAGATGGAGCTATTCCATCATCAGCAATAATGTTTTTCAAGTGGTTCGTGTGTTCAGATTGAACTTTGTAAGCTGCAAAGATACTGCAGTCAAACATGCATCATGGTTCAATGTATGCATTTTATTTGAACGATGATGCAGAATGCAATAAAAGACCTTAGTTCTGAAAAAATAAAGACATGCAATTTTATAATAATTAGGAATTCAGGGCAAATACTTTTTCTTTGTAAGAACTGTCAGCAGCTGGACTAGAATAAGGTTGGTGCCAAGGAGTTAGATACACATTGCTATGCAGGACAGTATTTGATGCCTTGTTCTACACAGGCACACAGCTTTCAGGTTATTGATGTGTATCAAAAACCTGCCCTCGCTTTCCCCCTTAAGAGGGTGTGAAGTGGCACCTTGGCTGTTCTGGCCATCCCTGTGAGCTCTGACAGAGCTCACCTGAGAAGCGTAGTGTGGGGACTATATTGCTCTTTCCACACAGAGCCCTGCAGATGTCCAGGGCTGCAGTTCAGTCCAGGCAGGGGTTTCCTGATTTCTTCAGTCATGCCAGCATGTGCTCTGCATCTCCTTGGTTTGAGATCGAGTCTTGAACAATTCTCAGGTGAAGTAGTAGCCTTAAGACACTATGGAAATTAGACAGCAGTGGTAAGCAAATTACACAGAAAATATATTTCAGTGTGAGAAATAGTGAAAAAATCATGCAATTTTCAGAAAATAAATTTACTTTGTTAGTCATCTTTCTTTTTGTAAGTAATTGTGGTCATTCATTGAGGAAAACGGAGCTTTTCGTAATTAGTGAACTAAGCATAAATTACGACAGTAATTTTTATTGAACAGAAAAATTGTGGTGTAATTTCAATGTGTACAATATTAATTACCTTTAAAGTACTCACAGTGGGATTCTATCATGCAGCAAAATTTTTTCTCTTGGTATCTATGATTCTGCCCCATGAGAGGCTGTGTGAATAGGTGGGGAAAACAGAAGAGGTGGTCCATAAACCTTGCAGTCCCAAAAGGAGGTGGTGTGCGAGATGGAAAAGGCATGAGTGGTGGTAAGCACTCACCTCATATCCATTTTTGCTGACCTTTTTTATTATATAGAAGGCTGTTACACTTTCCCGTTTTTGTCTGTTAGTGTTAGGAGTGGCAGTTAAAGATTTTCATTTCCATTTTTTTAAACGTTCACTTTTCAGTTTGTTATGCTCATGTTGTGCATTATGTCACGCGTGTTATATGTAGGACTGAGTATGATGCAGAGTAAGTGGAGTGGGAGTTTAAGTTACTGAGACTTAAGAGAGTGTTTGGTCATCATATGTGAAATGAGTCTCTGGATTATAACAGCAAAGGTTAATGATGTTTTGGAAGAATTAAAGATTGAGTTACCTTTTGTTTAGAGTTAGAACTAAGCCACTGGATTTGTGTGTGTCTCAGGGTTGTGAGTGTGGTCGCAGCACAGGACACGCTGTCACCCAGGGCTCGGTTAAGTGGGGGAATTTCCCATTTCTCAAATGAAAAATAAATCTTTCCTTTGGCAGCTTTTGAATTTGAAGCGTTGAAAGCTGAAAGCCTCAGCACACAAACCATGGCACAGATGCTTGGAACCAGCACGTAATGGGGCACATTGCTTCAAAACTTGGGCTGGTGTTAGTGTCTGTGATGCTAATGAGGCATCTCTCTGGACACCCGCGAGCACGGCAGGCATTTCACAGCTGCACAGAGATGATGTGGGGATTAGTGCCTGCACGTCACACTACTCCATTGGAGCTGGCAACCACTGGCAAGCGGCTCAGCCTTGGCAGGGCCCCAGCTCGCTGTGGGCACTGGTGGGCAGTGCTCCCCCTCTCCTGCTCGCAGTCAGGGCAGGACCTGCACTGTGCATGGGGTGTCTGTTGTGCTCTTTCCTTTGCTATCAAGGAGCTCCCATCACTTCAGAGTTCCTTGCTGTTGGTCTGTGGTGGTAAATGTGTGACTACAACATGAGCCAAGTTCATGATTCCTCAATATGGCATAATTGCACCTTAACATTACCTTTACAAAAGCCTCTCCCTAGCCCAGCTCTTCACCCAATTCTCCAAGGCAAAATACCAGAATAGATTTGAGTGAGACGCTAGTGTAATAAAGAACATTGGGATGCAGGGGGAGACATGTGATGACCACTATACAAGCTAGTGGTGGGCAAGGGGAGTAAGTAAATTCACTGGGAGACAGGACAGAGAAGGTTGGCTGTATCCACTTTGAACAACTAATGGGGTTTAAAAAGTTGCAGGGTTAATATGTACTGTGGTGAGGCTTTCTGAGCTTGTGACACCTCTTAACAACTTCCCACATAGCCTGGCTCGAAGGTTTTCACCCAGCAACTCCTGTACGCCATTGGTGGATGTGGAAATTAGGTATGTATTTAAAAGGGTTTAGTCTGGCTAGTTTTTATTTTCAGGATATTGATGTGTTGCTGTTTCCAAATACAGATGTCTGGAAAATACTTCCTCACCCAAGAACTAATGTCTTTATGGAGTAAAACCACTGGTATAGCAGTCATGGCACGTTTACAAGTGCATATTTCAGTAGGGAAGGATGTTGTTAACTCACTGTATTGTGTCCCAGGTACTCGTGAGGTATTGTGGCACTTCTAATTGTTTCATCAAATGTTTTTCTATCTCCAGTGTGCTTTTTTACTTTTATGGGTTTTTTGGGTTTGGGGGTTGTTTTGTTTGTTTGTTTGTTTGTTTGTGATTGAAAGGAGAAAATCTTTAAAGATCACAGAGTTCTTGGAAAAATCCTTCAAGGACACAATCGGTCATTTCCTCTGTTGCTGGCAGGAGGATGTGAGAGGTGGCTACTGGCAAGGAGCCATACAGTAGCCCTCTTGTTTGTCATAACTGGGAAAAACTATGGCATGACTGCCCAAACTCTGCTGTTCTCCTCATGAAGCATGGTTTTACCCATGTAAACTCGTGTTGGTGGCAGCCCTGGAAACACTTCTGAGCAGAGCAGTTTTTGCAGATGTTCACAAAAAGCAAATAGAAAAAAAAATTACAAGATACAGCTCAACTTTGATTTCTTATTCAAGTGCTTTTTCAGACTCCAGGGGTGTGAGTATCCACAGGACTCAAACATGATCTGAGTTTTGCTTTCTCTGAAATGTGGCATTTCCTGGAGAAGTGGCTCTTGGTGAGGGCCATTTCTGGCTGCCACCCTGCCTTGGGGACAACATCAAGGTAACAACAAAGCTACTGTATTCCTTTGTGATGTGAGTGCTGAAAGCTTCCTAGAATTGTTCCTCAAGTTTAAATCTTTATGTTATATTATCTACCTTGGCCTGAATTGGTGAGAGTTTGACAGAAGAGCAGATACTGAAAATGTGTGTCCCTCTGTTGCCAGGTACCTACAGCTGTGCAGGAGGTGAAGGCTTTGGAAGGCAAATCCCACAGATGTCAAGTAGAAGACAGTGGCTGGGACTTGTGAGGTCTGGAAACAACAAAACCTAGCATTAAACCAAGCTCCTTCAAACTGTGCCTGTTGTTTCCGGGGTTTGAGTCTTTACATTAAAAAAAAAAAAAGGCTTTGGTGGCTAAATCTTCCCAAACACGAGCAGGGTGGTTTGGTTTCTCCCAGAAGAACTCCTCAAGGATGGGTCTTTTCCCCAGTACAAGGAGAGTTAGGTTTATTAGCAACTTTTTCCTTCATTTATTTATTAGCTGATTTATTTATTTAGATAATTGTTCCTGGTTCACAGTCACAGAGGAGGGAAGTGATCAGAGTATTAGTGGATTGTGTCATGTTCAATGTGCCTGGGTACTTGTAAGTCCTCTATTTTGTTTTTACACTAAAATTCTGGTTCATTAAACACAAAACCTGTGTCCTTTCTGGGAAAGGAAATGGAACATCCTTGTCATCTGAATAATTTAAACTGCTGACATTTCATTTGCGCAAAACCACTGAAAGTGCTTTACTGGTTTAAAATATGAAATATTTCACAGTATGTTTGCTGAGTAAGTCATGAAGATTGCTTCTAGTCATGAAGATTATTCCTGCTTTCAGCATGCATTATACAAGGCA